GCTAAAGGTGACACTAGTACACTTGGAGTGTATTGAACGGACCACGTGTCGAATTTAATTCTATAGCATGATCGTGCGGAGAATTAAATTCCACTTGACCACTGTGTATTCATTTGAATCCCTTGACAGGATTATGTATATCTTTTTGTGATTTTAATAGTTTTTTGATTCATCACTGGGTGAGATCAATTTGATTGGTTAAATATCTCGATGAGTTGAGAATTTGAGAATAAGCGGAGTAGAGAACATGAATGCGTGTTGGGAACCGTTACCCTAAAAAATGGGTAGAGTGACTACTTAAATATCTTTTGTTGAACGGTTAAAATCTGAGCTCAGTATTTAGCGACGGCTAAACTTCGACATTTGTGATTTGTTCACAGGACCGTTGAAGAAAATGTAACTTAAGTTAGTGAGAATAATTAGAGGGGCAAAACGGTCATCATTTATGCTCGTACCTAATTATCGGATCTCGGACGGGGATAAAATACATATACGGCAGGTCAGAGGAAAGTATTACAGATTTATTGGCTTCTGTGATCTTATATATTCTAAGGGTTCAGTCTTTTGCCTTTACTGAAAAAAAACAAAGACTAATAATTAGATTGGATGGTTTAGGGTCGACTAAACAGGATCTAAGTATTGGAGCTTGGAAAATATATGTCCGATCAGATCCCTGTGGTAGCTCCATAAAGTATTGGAACTTAATTATGGTAATTATAATAGTTTTGGGCTTAATTGTAATTATAACAAAGTTTTGTACTTGGTTGTAATTACTACGAAAGTTATAAACTTAATTGTAATTGTAATTGAAGTTCTAGGACTACACATACAATTATATGTAAACTAATTAGAATTGGACTTAAATTAGAACTCTTACTTGAGTTTTTAATTAGAACTCTTGTTTGAATGTTAAATTATAATTATACTAAACTTGTATCATCTTTTTCTCGGTAAATAGAGACTAGATGGACAGAAAAATTCTACAACATTCATAATTTTATAAGATTCAAATTTGTAGAGATAATATATTATTTTTTTGTTGTCCAAAATTTAAGAATTGGTTTCTGGATTAATTGAAAGAAAGTACCCACACACCGGTGTAGTCTTTTCGTTGGAGGATACCATAGAAGGCTTGAAGCACCAAGATTTTTGCAATTAAAGGAGACGGAAGTTCGCGAATCAGAGTTAATTCAAGGTTGATCATTGAACTTGTAAAAGATTCGAATACTTTAATTTTGTTATAACATACACGTGAACGTCTAGACGACCATGTTTATTGAATTAAAGAAAATTTTAATTTCTGATTAATTCCACTTCCGCATTCCAACAAATGGGAGGGCTAGGGAAGCTATAACCATGCGACTGCATGGCTATAGCCCATGCGGTCACATGATTATTTTAACCGTTTTTTCATTCAAATTTGGTGACTTTTCACCTGTTTCTTGCACAATTTCGTGGGAACTTGCCAAGACCTATAAATAGATGATCCAAGTGCAAGAAAATTCATTGAGTTCCTTGAAATTTTCCCCAAATTATACTTCCAATATTGAGAAAATTTATCACATAATCATTCTATTTTCACTTATTCATTGTGAAGAAACACCTTTGCTTTTTTGGCGTTCTTCTTGTCAAGGCTTGTTTAATCTTACAAACTATTTGTCAGAAATCCTTAAAAAGCATTGGAAAGGAGACAAATAACGTTTGAGGACAGTGATATTAATTTTGTGTTCAAGCCTTCATTGATATACTTTTATAATTTTCTTCTACACTGCCATTATTTTTCAACACTTCTAACTAGCAAATTATATGGCCAGCCAATAAGAAGTGGAGGACTAGTTTTAAGGCAGCCAATAGAATTCTCATGCAGCTATCTTTAAGGAGAAGGAAATCTTGCTGTTTGGAATTTTTCATTAAAAAGGAAGCAGTCAAAGTTTGCAACCTAGTACTTCACAATTAAGAAACCATATGATTGGCTAACATATGTTGCTAGGCTTTGGAAATTTCTGGAAAATGTCGCAAGCTGTAAACAAAGATACGTGCTGATTTTTAACAAAGAAAAATCCCTTAAATACATTCTATTCAGATTCTTGGTATAAGGGAAGATGACACAAATCAAGGAATTCAAAAATCATAAAGTCAGCAACTCCATCTGTGCAATTAGTTTGGCCAGAATCACTCCATCTATGCATCAGTTTAGCCTAGAATCATGAGATTTATTCTTTGCAATGAGAGTAAATTTAGTGATTTGTAATTGTTGTACATTTCCTTAGGTAGAATTAAATGTCTGTATAAATTAACCAGTAGGATCAATGAAAAGTGTATGTTCAAAATTCTCATTGAAAGTGCCTTGTGTCTTATTCTCCTATATGGTATCAGAGCTTCAAATCTCTAACGAGAAACTTGATCCCAAATCATCCAAGTCTTCCTCAATCAACCTAAACCCACCTTTGTCCTCCTCTATAGACACACCCCTTGTTGTTTTCAACATTACTGCCCAAATCAATGAGAAACTTACACCCTCTACATTTCCACAGTGGCGTGCTCAATTTGAAGCCCTTTTAATCAGGTATGACCTGATGGATTATGTGAATGGAGGTTCTGTATGTCCATCCTTTGATGGCACCCCATCATCCATCTAAAAAAAAAAATATCACTGGGTTAGACAAGACAAACTAATCCTAAGTACTATCTTAGCATCAACATCCACAACAATTACTCAATTCATTGCCACTGCCAAGACTTCACAGGAGGCTTGGAAAAAATTATCGACTTTGTACCCTAGTAAATCATGTACAAGGGCTATGCAACTCAAGGAAGAACTCACCTTGATCCAGCGTGGAAATCGATCGATTCCAGACTACTTACATGCTGTAAAAGCTCTTGCCGATAAAATCGCACTCATCGATCATCCGATTTCCAATGATGATATCACCCTTTACGTTCTCAACGGATTGGGACCTAATTTTCGTGAAATAGCTGCTCCCATTCGGGCTAGGGAAAAATCCCTAGCTTTTGAGGAACTTCACGATCTACTAGTGGGGCATGAAAGCTATTTGAGAAGAATGGAAGCTACAACTCAACAGATTGTAGCCGCTGCAAACTTTACTAGTCGAAGAAATGGAAGCTTTGGAGGACAACAGTCGAAGAGCTTCAACAAAGCAAATGGGCAATCAAAGCAACAATCCTCTTATCACCCATTCAATGGCAGAGATCAACGCTGACCAAATCAAAACTCGGGAAGATTCAACACAACCCAACAATGCTTCTAGCCAAAGTGCCAGCTCTGTGATCAGTTGGGCCATACTGCCAAAGCCTGTCCACAGTTACAGCAAAATGAAGTGACGGTAAACTGTGCTACTTCATCAAATACAAATGAAAATAAATGGCTCATTGATTCGGCAGACTCTCACAATATCACGGGTGATCTCACAAATTTATCCATTCATTCTAAATATGATGGAACTGATGAAGTTGTCCTTGGAAATGGTACAGGTTTGACTGTCTCACACGTTGGTTTCTCTAACCTTACATTCACAAAAAAAAACCTTTATCTTGAGTGACATCCTTTGCGTCCCAAATATTCGCAAGAATTTAATTTCTGTTCATCACTTTACAAAACATAATAATGTCTTTGTTAAATTTCACCCATTTCATTTTCTTGTGAAGGAACGGAACATGGGGGCGATATTACTAAGATGTGCATGTGAGAATGGTGTCTATGCGTTTCCTAAATCACCGGTGACTGCAATTCAACAAATGGTGGCCAATGTGCATGAAAGAACTTCTCTTGATGGATGGCATAAACGTCTTGGACACCCATCCATTAAAGTTGTTCAAAATCTTGTTAATCAATTCTCTCTTCCGCTTACCACAAAAAAATATCATCTTCATGTACTTCTTGTTTTATGTATAAAGCACATCAACAACCACTTCGTTCAACGAGTTTTCAAAGTCATGCTCCTCTTGATATTATTTACACCGATGTCTGGGGACCCACACACCATATTGGTCTTGATGGATCTCGTTATTATCTTATTCTTGTCGACCATTATACGAAATACATATGGCTTTATCCAATGGTTGCAAAATCAAACGTGTCTACTATATTTCCTCTATTCAAAAATATTGTTGAAAAACGCTTCAACTCTAAGATAAAGAGTTTGTATTCAGACAATGGTGGTGAATTCATAGGTTTAAAAAACTATCATTCTTTACATGGCATAAGTCATTACACCACTGCACCATATACACCCCAACAAAATGGTGTTTCTGAACGACGTTATCGTCACCTTGTGGAAACAGGACTCACTCTTCTTCATGATGGTTCCCTACCACTTGATTATTGGCCACATGCATTCCAAACAACCGTATATCTCATAAATCGTCAACCCACTCCACTTCTTCAAAATAAGTCACCATTTGAGGCTCTTTTTGGACAAAAACCAAATTACCTCAAACTTAAGAAATTTGGGTGTCTTTGTTATCCTCTCACAAAGCCATATAATACTCACAAACTACAGCCCAAATCTGCACCTTGCATTTTTTTAGGATACTCACAAACTCAAAATGCCTGTAAATGCATGGACCCATCCACTAAAAGGCTATACATCTCACGGTATGTCCTATTTGATGAGGAGAAAATCTCAATTATATCAAGAGGCCCAGATCTAGTCGAAAACCCATTTAAACATCTTTGTTCCTTCAGTGTTCCTTTTTCGCAGATTTCCACCTTGCGACACCCAGATGCTCCCTCGACTACAAGTCCTGCGCAGCCTTTTCATTCTTCCTTCTCGCTAGTGGTGATATCGAAAACACCCGTTGCCATTCAAGCATCACTTCCAGGTAATATCTCCTCTCTCTTGGCTCCGGTAACTTCAGATTCCAATGTTAATCTAGAATTTGTTGATATGAATGAGAGTGCTCCAATGTCAAATTATGCACTTAGTTCAGCACAACCACAAAATATCTCTTCCTGAACTCACACCATGGTCACAAGATCAATGAATAACATCTTTAGACCTAAACAAATCCACACAATCACAAAACATCCCATACAACCCTCCCTTGAACCAACGTGTGTGAGTCAAGCCATATCTCATCCCCAGTGGCGTGAAGCCATGTCTAATGAGCTCACTGCTCTTATGAGACATGGTACTTGGGATTTAGTCCCCCCACCTAAGAATTGTAATCCTATAGGATGTAAGTGGGTGTTTAGAATCAAAAGAAAATCTGATGGCTCAATTGATCGGTTCAAAGCAAGACTTGTGGCACAGGGATATAATCAACGCCCTGGATTGGATTTTAAAGAAACTTTTAGCCCCGTGGTTAAACCAGCCACAATAAGGTCCGTTTTAAGCATTGCCGTAGTCAATGGATAGGAACTCAGACAAATGGATGTTAACAATGCATTCTTACATGGGAACTTGACTGAAAATGTGTATATGATGCAACCTCCTAGGTTTAAAGATATGTCAAAAGCTGATCACGTATGTAAGCTGCGAAAAGCTATTTATGGCCTTAAGCAAGCCCCACGGGCTTGGTACTCAGCCTTGAAGAATGCCTTAATTGAGCTTGATTTTCAGAATTCTACAGCTAATTCTTCATTATTCATTTTTCGACAAGACTCAATTACATGCTATTTCTTAGTGTATGTCGATGATCTTGTTATTACAGGGAATGATAAAAATTTTGTGGCTCATGTTATTGAAAAAATTGGCATTCAGTTCTCCTTAAAGGACTTGGGATTGCTTCATTTTTTTTCTAGGAGTGGAGGTAATACTAACTTCTGCAGGTCTCTTCTTGTCACAGCACAAATATATTCGTGAACTCTTGCAAACCACGAATATGATTGGAGCAAAGGATGTTTGCACACTCTTTCCACTACAACATCTCTTCATTTAGTGGATGGCACAACTGCAGTGGACAACACTGAGTTCAAGAGAGTGATAGGCAGCTTGCAATATCTATCTTTGACACGCCCCGACATTTCCTTTGCTGTCAACAAGCTGTCACAATTCATGCACAAGCCCACAACATCCCATTGGATAGCCACAAAGAGACTTCTTTGGTATCTAAAAATAACAATCTTTTATGGAATTCAGATTCAAAAATCTGCAGCACCACTTCTTACAATTTACAGTGATGCTGATAGGTTGGAAACATAGATGATCGCACTTCTACTTCAGCTTATATCACCTTTCTTGGCACCAACCCAATTTCTTGGAGTTCTAAGAAAAAAAGAGCGGTTGCACGCTCCACTACGGAGGTTGAATATCGTGCCCTTGCTAATGCAGTGGCTGAAACCATGTGGTTAAAAGCTTTATTTCGGGATCTTGGTTTCCCACTCAAAGACAAACCCTCCATTCTTTGTGATAATCTTGGTGCCACCCATCTAAGTTTTAATCCGGTACAACACTCAAGAATGAAACACATTCAAATAGATCTCCACTTCGTGTGTGATCTAGTTCAGCAAGGTGAAATTCATGTCCGACATGTATATACACAAGATCAATTGGCTGACTTAATGACCAAGCCTTTGTCAAAGCAATGGACAGAAATTTTAAGAAACAAGATTGGTCTTCTCGATGGAAGCTCAATCTTGAGGGGCGTATAAGGGAAGATGACACAAATCAAGGAATTCAAAAATCATAAAGTCAGCAACTCCATCTATGCAATTAGTTTGGCCAGAATCACTCCATCTATGCATCAGTTTAGCCTAGAATCATGAGATTTATTCTTTGCAATGAGAGTAAATTTAGTGATTTGTTAATTGTTGTACATTTCCTTAGGTAGAATTAAATGTCTGTATAAATTAACCAGGATCAATGAAAAGTGTATGTTCAAAATTCTCATTGAAAGTGCCTTGTGTCTTATTCTCCTATACTTGGATCCACTTAACTTGTATTTATATATTTCTTTTTCCTTATTTGCATTTTCTGAATTTTTAAAAATCTAACCCCCAATTGTTACTGAGAAATTACCATTTTGGCTTTAGTCATCTGATTCGAATAGTAAGTGTCAGCTCATTTGTTTAATTTAGTTCATTATTTTTTCGACTTTTCAACAATCAATTAGTTAACTTAAATCAATCCTCTGTGGGAAATGCCCCTTGCTAACCATCAGAATCAACAAAGACAATAGTTTGTGCAAGGAGTTTAAAAGCCTTTAGGGTATCGTTTTAACTGCAGTAACATTTGGTTGAGTTGTAAAAGATGATAATCTCATGTTTTTTTATTTCAAAAAATAATAAATACATATATTTGAAACATTTCTTCGATTTCATTTCGATGATACAGGCATAATAATGGAAGTTCTGAATTTATTTGCTAGAACTTCTTTGGTCACCGGAGAAAAATGGGAGGAAGAACGACTATATGCCCTTGCTCGTGCATCTCAAGTGCAATGACTATTTTAAACATGAGGCACATTCCTTTTGGCAAAGATTTGTGTTTTCTCACTGCTACCATATAAAGTAGTTTTCCCAATCAAAATTTGCTGAAGTAGTCCAAAAATTTGTAAAGAACTGCTAAAGGACCATTTAATGACTTAATGTTGAGAGGAAGAGATATTAGATGTATAACACTATCATCTTCAAACAGCATGAGCACCAAGAATATGACTTTAGTAATAGCACCATGCCTTGATCAGTATATTACTGAGTTTAAACAGATTATCCTTGCCAGTTTTATTGAAGAATAGTTTTGAAGTTGTTTGCCAGATCTTCAAATGCCTACAGAAGGGGAAAGAGAATGATTATTTGGCCATGTATGTTTCATGTGCCACTCACATGACGATCATTGATGGCCGAATTTCAAAGATTGGTTTATCAACTTTACATGATTTATATCTGAAACAGGCGCTGCCGGGATGAGACCATTGCAAGAGATGGAAGATGTATAGCACCATCATCTCCAGAGCATATGTAGAGATCAAGACATGATGATCACCAAGAATACAATTTTCATAATAGAATCATGCTCTGATCACTATAAAAGACGTTGCTTGTTTCCAAGTAGGCGATCAGCCCTCCTGTGAAAGCATAAGGTCCACATGCCTCCAATTTGATTGAAGGATATATCAACAACAATATTCTGAACAATGTACTTCACAATTTTAACCGAAGTATTATTGACCTAGAAATCCATTACTACAGACATTTCTGCTCAATTTCTCTGTTCTCCTCCCAATAGATGTTACAATTTCTCAATGAACTTGTTGTCAAGACTAGACAAATTGATGTCTCCTCAGGAGATAAGTTTTTAATGGTACAAATCCATACCTGAATATTGAGCTGGTGCGAGCCCCATTTTCTCAACAAAATGCATTTCGATGGAGAATGTGTGGTTAAATAATAAGGACAGGTCTTGGATTTATGTGTAATATAATTTTATTGAAGAATGCAAGATTAAAAATAAGAGAAAGAAAAATGTATTTTGCAAATAATGAGAACCAAACAAGGGTTACTCTTGTTTTGAGCTCGTTGTGAAGGGAACTTAACGGACCTGGTGACACCAAAACATTGGAGACTAAGTGGTCATCAATGGATGGCTTCAAATTTTTTCACTCGCTGTCTCGAACTGATATTGAATAAGCTTGTGCAGTCTCTCTATTTGATCTGTAGGAAGTATTGCACCAGCATTGCACTTTCCATGCACTTTTTTTGAAAAATTTCAAAGTCATAATAGAATTGCATAGATTCATTCACCCGGACTATTCATTTACCCTTTAGTGTTTTTTCTATTTTCTGGGTTGTCACTGCTGTGTTCGCAAGTGACAAATATTTGATGGATTTGAATATTTTGTAGACGTCTTAATTGCTGAGTAATGTGTGAGCATCCTTATCTTTGCACAAAAATGCACAAAATGGGAAAATTATATTTGGGGGAGCAAATGCGAGGGAGTTAGAAGCGCTAAATTAGGATTGGATCTTTGAGCTTTATTTTTGTATTTCCACCCATTTTATCGTTATAAAGTTACTTTTCATTAAAAGCCACTGTACTCCTATATTTACTTCAAATTAAAAAATAAATAGTGAAAAGAAATATTTCCAACCAAATTGCATCGCCACTAGATGTGGGAGATAATGCTCTATGCAATCAATTACTGGCGAACGCCTCGTTCTCAATCATCTAACAAGACACTCAAATTTATCATCCAATCCAGATTCAATCAATACCCCATAATCGTTTTTCGTGTAAATCTTGTGAGGCAAGGAGCTGTTTGCCGCCCTCATGGAAGGGCTAAAATAAAAAATTCTTTAAGAAAACTGATTGCTCTGTAGACATTCAGTAGAGTCTCAACAACCCTTATCGAATTAGGCTTGCTCCAAGGATCGTCGAATCAGTGTTTTTCGAGCTCAGTTTCACGTTACCTTTCTCTACCAATCAACCAATTCAAATGGCCCCAACCGACAACCAGTATATTCACTACCCACAAAGGACAAAATAATAGTGATAATTTGCAAGCCACAAAGGCATGGGGAAAACAATGGAAGAAGGCTAGATCTTCAAAAGGAGAAAGAGAGTGATTATTTGTCCATGTACATTTCATGTGCCACTCACATGACGACCATTGGTGGCTGAATTTCAAAGATTGGTTTATCAACTTTAAATGATTTAAATCTGAAACAGGCGCTGCTGGAATGAAACCATTGCAAGAGATGGAAGATGTATAGCACCATCATCTCCCCAGCATATGTAGAGATCAAGCCATGATGACCACCAAGAATACAACTTTCATGATAGAACCATGCTCTGATCAGTATAACAGTTGCTCCTTTCCAATGAGGCGATCAAATTTCTTGTGAACGCATAAGGTTCACACGCCTCCAATTTGGTTGAGGGATATTTCAACAAAAATATTCTGAACAACGTATTTCACAAGTTTAACCTGAGCATTTTTGACCTGGACATCCTTTAATGCAGACCTTGCCCCTCAATTTCTCTGTTCTTCTCCCAATACACGTTTCAAATTCACAATGAACTTATCGTCAAGACTTGCCCTGACAAAGGCAGACAAATTGATGTCTCCATCCGGAGATAAGTTTTTGCTTGTACAAATCCATACCTGAATTTACTCTTATTTTGAGCTCGTTGCGAGGGAACTCGCTGTCATCAATGGATGGCTTCAAATTTTCTCACTTGCTGTCTCAAACTGATATTAATATAAGCTTGTTCAGTCTCTCCATTTGATCTGTAGGATGTATTGCACAAGTGTTGAACTTTCCACGCATATTTAAAAATTTGAAGTAATAATAGAATTGCTTAGATTCCAATACCCAGATTATGCATTTACACTTTTTCCTCCATGCTTCCTTCAAGTTACCATGCTGTTGGGAATCTACTTATACATGCACAGCGGAATTTAAAATAATTTTCGA